CCCCCCCCGGACGGCCTCCAAACTAGGACAAATCCGGGGAAACCCGGACGGATGGCAGCCCTACGTAGGTGTCGCGTTCAATGAAATGTAAACTAATTTTCGAATATATGTAAATATTAGATATTCCAAAAACAAGTACAGGGTCAAGAGCATGTCAAGCTTGACAGTTAAGACTTAAATCCAAGTCTATGCCGCTTGCGATAAGAACGGTCGAAAGTACAAAGTTTCAAGCTTGATTGCTCTTGATGTTGTGTTCAAAAATATGTAGTAAGTAATCATGTCATTTTTTTTAAAGTATACTTTTATTTCAGAGAAAAGTAAACAACCAGTGGTAAATATACACTCTTGTGTTTTATATGTTTATCCATATTATTTCCGTTAAAATAATTACAAAGCATTTGCATTTTTTTAAATTAGGATTGTGATTTTATCATTATTAAGTAACGACTTTTAAAACTACGGAATTTATTACATTTTTGTGAGCGATTGTTACACATAGGAAATGAAACAATTTTTCCGTATTTAAATCGCGTATATTTGTTTTTTCAAACAAACCGACGTTTCGGGCCCTTTACACACCCTAATAATTAATATGTTTTAGTTTATTCTAATTTCTATTATTAATTAATAATAAATTGAACTTAACAAAAATTCATTCAATAAAATAATTTGTAAAACTTAATGTAGCGTAAATTGGAATGTTTTTTTCTTTGTAAAATTAAAAATAAGGTATTTTATTAATAACTATTAAACTATAGTAAAAAATAGGGTGGTTTGCATCAATATTAGACATAACTGGTTGAAGACTGTACCACCTCAGTCAACCGTGACCATGGGACCCGTAAAGGGCCCGAAAAGTCGGTTTGTTTGAAAAAACAAATATACGCTATTTAAATTCGGAAAAATAGTTTCATTTCCTAGAAGTGATTTAAGTTTACTAAAAGTGTGCTTAATGCACCTAGGTAAATTAAGTTAATGGGTACTTGTGTCGTAGTCGTTATTTATTCAAAAACAATTGAAGTGGCCAGAGCAAATGAGTAAAGCCAGAGTGTCCCACTGACAAAAAGGTTCCATATTAAACGAAGGAGTGAATGCAGTTTACTTTTATGTTCACCAGGTGAATTAGATAAATAAAGTTTTACTTTTGTGTATATGTAATGCACCCAGGTGATTTAAGTTTACTAAAAGTGTACTTAATGCACCTAGGTGAATTAAGTTAACGCAGCCGTCTCAGCCACTCGAGACGAATATTTCGTCGATTGTTTCGACTAGCGAATAGCAAGCACGATAGTGTAAATGCGGTATGTGCCGCATAGGCTAACAACGGTGCGAAGTACAGTGTCAAGCTTGACGTCCTCTTGACTGTACAGTCCGTACCACAAAAACGTTTTGGCTTCGCGAGCAGCGTTGCCAATGCCAATTGTTCAAAATCCCCAAAGTAGACGGTTAAAATCCCCAAAATTGGGGACAACAAAGTTCATATTCCCCACACCTCGAGTTTTCATTATTTATTACAAATACATGGCTTAAAAATAATTATAATAAAGAATTAAGAAACTCAAAATTACGTTTGCTGTGAATGTAAAATGTAAAGCAAATTATAAAATTAGATGACCTTAAATCGTTTATTTATTTTAATGAGATTCAACATTAATCAGACTTTGAAAAAAAAATCATTTTTCTTTGCCTTACAAAATTAAGTAACTTAATTATTTTGTTGCGCATTTGGTGACACTATGTTTATGTTAGAAAAAATCCATGAGTAAATTTAGTTTATTTTCTTTCACTGAAAAGTACATCAGTCTTATCGGAATGAAACACCATTTTATATGACATAATGGTCTAATTGTACAATGTGTCCTAAACAATGAACCAAAAAAAAATTGCACACAAACATTGCACCAAAGTCTAATGCTTGAAAATCGTAGTATTTTTTTTTATTTGCAAGTTATAGTAAGGTTAGCAGGTTATAGTAATTATAGTAAGGTTCAATTTAGTTCCAATATTATGAATTGCTTACAAGAGAATCAACTCCAAATATATTATTTGTTGTACGTGATTCATTGTATAAGAGAAGATAATTTATGGAACAACTTTTGAGAAAAAATACGGTAATTTTGTTAATAGAATTGTTATTTCGTTTAGAGTTAATTTAAATTGATGTGCAATCAGTATGTTTGTTATGTAACCATATTTTTGTAAATAAATGAACACTTTCGTTGTACACTGAGAAATTAGCAGAGGTCTAGTTTTGATACGTTTTTATTTTTGATAACATACAATAACGATCAAACTAGCATGCATCGATAGATGCAAGCAATCGATAGATTAAACAAAATCATAAAATGTTAGAATCCCCACATTTTTCCCACATAGCCCCATAGGGATAGGCCCCACAAAATCCCCAATCTAGTTGAAATTCCCCGCAATTTGGGGAATTCCCCACAAATTGCTGATTGAAAACCCTGTTCACGAGCGGGTATTTGACTTTGCATTCTCGGAATTGAAACTTTACCCGGAATTATTGGAACTTTATACCATGACTTGACCCCACTCTACTCTAATATGATGATTGATGTGATGACCCACCAAAAACGAGGTTTAATGCCTTACTATGAACTGAAGACTTGACGTAACGAGAAAAATAATTCAGCAAAACTTGGCTGTATGGTTTCAAACTTCTGTCTTTTCCTTTAACGAAAGTACGAAAAAAAAACAACATTTTGTGAATTTTTGTGTATAGTACTTTGTGTTTTGTGCATTGTATTCAATTGTATTATTGTGATTTTGTGCTTGGATTGTTTGGGTTTAGCACGGTCAAGATAATTTAAATTTATCTCACCAACGCACTGAGTCTTTAATAAGTTATAGTCTTTCAACCTTGACGTTGCTGAAATCGTCGCGCAAAACAACGGAGCCATAGATACAAAAGTTGAAGTTAAATTCGTACTTTTAAAAATGGCCAATTTTACTACGAACGGGAAAATTTGTATAGAACGCGAACTCGATTTCATCCAAATTGACCACCACTTTGATGATATCGTGTCTCGTTTCGACATATATGAAACTTGTAAGTGGATACGTGACAACAACTATCAAAAGGTAAACAATTCATTTTTGTCATTTCCTTTTAACAAAAATATTATAGGTTATACTCAAGTTTAATTCCCACAGGTCTGTCTTCAATTTCCCGACGAATTACTAAGTGTAAGTGCGAAAATATACGAAGAGTTAAAGAAGCAAGTTGATGTCGATCTTTACATACTTGGAGACACCTCGTATGCAAGGTAAGATGAATCAACACTTGTGTATTATCTAACATACCTATTGTCGTCTACTTATAATAATAAGGGAGTTACCACCCTTATTACCGCAGAATCGGCATGTGCTGATCAGAAAAAACAAAAGACATGCTGCACCTTAGAGCCTTTTCTTCTGTATAATATGGTCATATGGGGTAAGAGGAATGCCGGGGTAGAGGGACTTGAAGCCTTAACTCATAATTAAAAGCTTAGTTACTACAGTTTCTCAGTTGATAAAAAATACAAACAAATTAATGCCAACGTTTTTAAAGAGATGTCACTATGATGATCTAAATCCAAAAGGCTGAAATTTGTCTGTTGTCCCTATCTACCCGAGGGATAGGTAGTTCCAGGGAGACTATGGGCTCCCCGATTAGACTGCGTTAAGCAGGTGTCCGGGCTACGCCTGCCACCAGTGATAGGCCTTTACGGGCGGCACTGTTGACAACGTGGACTCTGGGTATGGACACACCAGTACTTCCAGTACACCCCGGACACTCCATACAACGGTCGAAAGTTATGTATCTACTACTACTACATACAACAAGGAGCTATCTGCTCAAGCACAAATGTGTGCATGAATTGGCAGGGTTACCCATGACTTTCTCATAAAATTATGTTACTTGGTCAGGGCGGCGACATAGTGAAAATTATAATGCAAATCTGTTATCTTTAATTCCATTGATAGAATCCTAATACTTACACATGTTCTGTAGGTGTTTATATTGATATATTTTTCATTAATTCATTAACTAGAATAATATTGAGGATTTATTTGAAATATTAAAAGCACATAAAATGTTATATTTTAGACAGGTACTTATAAATAAGGTAACCAAAGTATTTGAAATTGCGTGTCCAAGTTTATCATTATCTAGTTAATAATTAGGTATATTCACTATGCAATATTTATCGGCTATACAAATTCGAGAAACCTTGTTTACTAGCTCACGAAGTTATGGCCTCTCAATATATTGATATAATATATCTGTATTATATATTACTCTGCACTAAATAAATGAAGAAAACAATAACTGAATGCGTCTCAGACATAATAATATATCAAATATCAAAGCCGTCTTAGCACGAAAACGCCACGCCGACAGCCTTGCTGCGTGGTGCAGTCTCTAAAGCTTGGCAGGGGCGGAGAGTGTCCTTTCTCGTTACTTTTTTGTTCTCTGCTTGCGGTAGTGTGTGGCCAGGGCGTTTGTCTCGTGCGCAACTACCGCGTATCAGTAACAGTCCAGGCGACGGCCTTTTTTTTCGTGGGGAAATCCTCCTAGGATACCTCTCCGCCGCTGGAGCAGCGGGAGCAGCGGAGAGGTTATGCCGAACTCCTACCGGCTAAAACCCTACGGTGGCCTTCTCGGGTGCTCTTGTGGGAGGGACCCGGGATCGACTTAGCGCAACGGAACCCCTCCGGAACCTAGGAGGAGCTACGTTTTCCCCCTCCCCTCCTCACAACGAAAGGGGCCACACCGCCCCGTCGTCCTCCTCGCGGCTGCCAAACTTACTGGCGAACGGAGCCCCCGCTCCATCGCCCGCAGCCGCGAAGGTACGCTGCCGCCGAGCGGGATCGGCCCTCCCTCGATAGCGCTCGGCGACCTCCTTCTGGAGCATCACCGCTTCACAGAAGGAGACCACTGCCTCATGAGACTCTTGATCCGCCAGCATAGCCGCCACTATGCCTGGCGGATAGAGATCTCGCCCGATCCGGGCAACCAGGATGTTCCGCTCGGAGGCCCATGCGGGGCACTCCTCCAGCGTGTGCTGGGCGGAATCCTGGTTTGGTGATTCAGATTCTCACCGAAGCATTCGTGCCCGGTGAGTATCTGTGTCAGCCGGAACGTGGTGATGCACTTTCGCTGGCTCAACCAGCCTTCGAGGACGGGCAGGATCGCACCGACGGCGCGCTGGCTCAAGATCCTCGGCTGTACCAGCCTCTCGCGCCACTTCTCGGCGGCGCAGCTTCCTCCGCCTGGCGGAGACGCACGTTAATACGCGCGTCCATCTCCGCCAGTAAACGACGGCCTAAACAGAGAAGACGCGCGGGGCAGGTGAGTTGCCCTTTAAGTCGAAAGCCATGTCTAGACATAGCCCGGAGAACTAGAAGAGAATGAGCTAGACATTCTCCAGTCCCTCCAGCCGCGTAAGTTGCTAGGAACTGGAGAGACAGCTCCGCCACCAAAGAGGAGATTTTGTAGAGGACTTTTAGAATCAACGGTATAGCGGTGATAAATGTTACTTGTGCTATGCTATGCACAACGGGGAGTGAGTGTGCCTACGGCTCCGGTATCTCTCTGGAAAAGTAATCTTGAGAACACAAGGCATACATAACCTTCGTCAAAAATATGATTACTGTTCCTCTTACCCCATCTTTTGGGAGAAGAGAAACATTAGCACAATTTGCAGGTTTCCAGCAAACACATATTAAGTGTTTAATTTAGCTTAATGATTGTTAGAACATGTAAAGCAGAAAAAGGCAAGTGTAGTGTACTTCAAAATTCTTGTAAAACTTTATTGTACTTCCTAAAGCTTAAATTTTTAACTCAAAATAAAGTATGTTCCTCTTTTCGTCATCTGACTAGTAACTTTTTCTTATTAAATTCTGTTTGCTTTGCCATATCAAACTTCTTATTAATTATTAATCACCTTAGGTATAATAAGAATGTTTTAATACTTCCAGTTGCTGTGTGGACACCGTGGCAGCAATGCATGTGCAAGCCGATGCAATAGCCCACTATGGTCACTCGTGCTTCTCTAAAACTACTTTGCCAGTCTTCACTGTTTTGCCTAAACAAGACCTTGATATTGACACCACAATGGAGCTATTGAAAACAAATTTTAACTCAAATGATAACATGAAGATGTGTCTGTTTTATGACCCTGATTTTGAACATTTAAAAGGTAAATTTTATTTTGTTCAAGGCATGCTTTACAATGCCACTACAGATGTGTAAAGCCTAATGCTTCAGAAATTTGTAGGCACAATACATTTATTTATTTATTAAAAACACAACATAAACTAACAGTAAGAACCAAAACGCTTACACGTTAATTTCTTATACTACATACATATTCGATACGCCACCTTTGCTTTATAAATTACTTTGCTAATGCTGTCGCAAAAGATGTCAGCATCTTGGACCTTAGCGGCTAGACAATTAAGCAACGTGAGACTACGTTTCGTGGGCGCGCTGTCTGCAGCATGTGCGTAGCACGGGGGGCGCAAACAAATTGATGTCGCCGTCGGCCCGTGCAGACGTACGTGTTTGGCACAAACAGACCGACGTTGCTCACTGTTCCGGGATTGTCCATCTTACCTCGCAGGAGAAATACGTAATGGAGTACAGTTCGAACTTTACGTCTTACTTCCAAGTTGTCAAGACCGACCATTCCGTAGACAAATAAGGAAGAGTAGCGGATATTAACCATACATAAGTATCGAGCGAATTTGCGTTGTGTATTTTCAATCTGGAGACAATATTTATCCTTATAAGGATCCCAAATTTCCGCGCAGTACTCCAGCCCACTTCTTACAAAAGTATAAGTGCCACCCTAGTATCACGAAACTGTGAAGATGACAAAACCAAGAGTTTTATTGGCTGTTTTGCAGAGTCGTGATATGGTTATGAAAGTTGAGCTTGGGATTCATTATTGCTCCCAGATCGCGAATAGACTACTCGTTCGAGTACTGTATTACCTGTAGAATACTGGTAATGTACAGAGGCGACAGATCTCGTGTAGGACATTATTTTGCATTGTTTTCACACCAGGCAGATACCGCGTCAATATCGCACACATAAACATACTATAATACAAGTGAACTTCATTACTTATATCTCAGTTCCTATACATGCAAAAAATAATTCATTTGTTTGAATGAAAACATGGTTTCAAGAGAAAAAGAAATTTTACAGCCTATAAGTACCAAACAGAATTTTTATAAAAAAATATACTCCCTGACACATATTTCGAGCCACTCCGCATTGTCATTATTAAATGTCCATAGCTTAAATAATGTTTGGTTGATCAATAATTAATTCAAGTTTCAAACTGATGTACTAAACGTCATTTTCAAAAGGTTTTGATGAAAATTTTAATGCGTAACCGGGTACAACTCTTTCTTCGATGATTTTTTTTTTGATAAATAAAAATGCAGTATGGCTCGATTTATGTGTTCGGGAGTGTATATTAATAAACCGCTTTCTTTTGAAATAAGTCACAAATGAAATGATTTGCAAAAACTTATTGATAATTCACCTTGTAGATGATATGTCAAAAATGTGGTTCAAGGCTTACCCAAACAGCTACATAGCTTTTGTGGAAATGAATGAGACAACCAACAGATTCCTGGGCAGGTTAATAAAAGACAGTAAGGGAGAAGAATACCCAGTGGAAATTTTGAAACAATGCAAATGTATCCATATTGGGACTAGAGGACAAACTGTATTCAATTACACAATTTCTTTACCAGGTGAGTTTTTTAATATTTTATAACATTCCTACATTGAAACCGTCATTAAACGGAAAAGTCAACTCTCGAGAAATGAACTTAAATCAAGATTAACGACCACCATTTGTACAATAAATACAGTAGAAGTGCTCAGTTTGCGTGTCATGCGTGCCAACTATACGCGAAGTTCCACATACTCAAGCTCAGTCCGCCACGCGCCATTTTGGTTTTGTACGTCAACTATCTCGCGCGAAACCTCGAAAATCATAGAAAAATGGCTTATTTTGCCACTTTGAAGTGCAAAAATGATAGTCGCACTTGTAATATTATCTCTGGTGGTGTTTCATATCATTGTTAACACGTTCGTCGCCGACTAGAATTTTCAAAAATGTTCAAAATATGACATTGGCTTATATGACTGTTTTTGGTCTCATTTGTACACGTATATAATTTTTTCGCGATATTACATTATTTGGCTCTAGTTTGAGATTATATTTAGTGCCGGGCATATTAACCCGGTGCGGCCTAAACGAAATAATTATTACTTTTAGGACGTGCCGGTCGCGATGCCGGTCAGAGTATGCACACATAATGTTCGATCGATGTTTACCTAAAACTGACGTACGTCTTTCATTTGAGATTGACATTTCACATTAACCATTTTTTGCTTAGTTTGTAACTTTTAAATCCAATTTGAAATTAAAGTGATTTTTTTTATTCGAAATATATATACTTTTCCTCTTAGTCTAGAAAAGTGTGTATGCTATCAAATATCCTAAAAACCAAGTGGCAACAGCAGTTCATCAGAGCCACGCCGGTCATGTTATACGGCTTAATACGTAGTGTTTGCCACCTGCGGCGTGAACGAGCATCGCAAAGTTATCATAGTCATTTTAACCCCCCACGGCCCCAATAGGTAGATGAGATGCCTGTCATCTTGACCCACCACGGCGATGAACGTGTTAAGTCTTATTTAATTTTAATAAAGTTTCTGTTTATCGTAACAATTTTTTTTAAAAGTAAGTAAGGTCGCTGTTTTCTTTGAAAACTAAGTAAACACCTCGAATTTGTCGTTGTTCAGCTATTGACCGCTAGATGGCAGTACATTGATTGAAATTTCAATATAAAATCAAAACGTAAGTTGCAATAATTAATCGGTATATTGAACTTTCAACGATATGCCAACAGGGTAAAGTTTAAATTGTATTAACAATCCAATATTTGTTATTTCTTTTCAAATTAGAAACTATGACCAATCGTTATCAAGATATCATAATGTTTTAAATTATGAATACCTACGTGAGTTTTGGCGGCAGCGGTCGGATAGTAATCGACGCTTAAGACTCTTCCATTGTTTTTTCTTCCGTGACGACCACGGACTGGTGTAAAACATGTCAAGTAAACATTCCACTTAAATACATGAGTTATCCATTAGTTCCGTTAATATGTCCGAGTCTCATAGCAGTTTTTTATTTAAAAATAAAGTTTTATGTTTGTGAAATTTAGTTTAAATTTGAAAAAGCGAGAATTTCGGTTAGTGACGGTATTGATTTCAACGTGCTTATGTAAATTAAGCTGTTACACATACGTACTTACTTTACAGACACCCAAACTCACGAGAGAAAGAAATGTAGGTCATACAAATATTTATCCCGAGCCGGGAATCGAACTTGGGACCTCTGCGGGCAGTCTGGCATGGTAACCGTTTGGCCACGGTTTTATGTTTATTTTAGAACCGCACTATACTATATTATATTCTCAATTAGACTGGATTTCTTTTTATCATCAGTTTAACAGATACTCGAATTTTTACAGCACAAGAATGGTACCTCCTAAACCCTGACACAGGCAAAGTCGAATTTATGAAAGAAACGACCTGGTTTAAACGGCGCCAATACTTAGTAGAAAAATGCAAAGATGCAAATGCTATAGGAATTCTGGTATGCAAGTTGGCGGGAGACCAGACCAAGGACATCATCAAGAGAATGAAACAACTTTGCAGAGTTAATGGCAAAAAGAGCTACATTGTATCTGTTGGAAAACCCAATATTGCTAAATTGGCAAATTTCCCAGAGGTATCAATTTCAATTTTTTTAAATTAAATTGTGTATTAATATACATATTGTCTGTTCTATACACTACATAACTATACGTCACGGGACTTGAATGTCCGTGTATTAATTTCCTGTAGCTTAATTAATATATAAAGTAATTAAAACTATGTACCCTCTCTCGAATCTCCTGCTGAAAACCAGTGAAAGGCTCTGCCTAGTATAAAGCGGAGCTTGCTAGCCGTTATGGCTATCATGTGTGTTCTATATTTTAGTTTAATTTCTAACCGGCTTCAAAAAGGTTTTCAATTCGACGGTTTTTTTGTATGTACATATGTAACGCGATAACTCCGATAACTCCGATTTGTGAAACGATATTGATGATTTTTTTTATAATAATAATAACGCACACTCTCAACATAGCCCCGCACTAAGGAAACCCTGTGTCGCGGGTGCTATGGACACACACATAGACAACCACAAATTACACCCAGACTCACGAGAGAAATAAATGTAGGTCATACAAATATTTCTCCTGGCCCGGAATTCTAACCTGGGACCTCTGCGTGGCAGTCCGGCATGGTATGGTAATCATTCGGCCACGGAGGCAGTTAGATTATTTTTTTGTTGGAAAGACGGTACCTCAGTTGTGGTCCCATTTATATTTGAAGAACATATTCCACTTCTAAGGGTTGCAAACTAGGGGATGAATGACTTTTGAGGTCGGTTTATTTAGTATTCTGTACTGAGATTATTATATTTTTTCTTTTCTTTTTAACCGATACTACTTAATAAGTTTGAAATATTATTGTGAATAGCCATATTATTATAAATTTTTCTTTCTTTCTTTCTATAGTTACAGAACATTTTATACTTTAAAGTTTAATATGTTGCCATTATGTTGCCAACTCTATCATAGCTGTTAAGTTTGTTACTAAAACTACATGTATTTTTCAGATTGACATTTATGTGATGGTCGCATGCCCGGAAAATGATTTTTATAATTGTAGAGACTTCTACAAGCCTTTAGTTTACCCTTTTGAGCTGGAAGTTGCCTTGAACTCCAAAAGAGAGCCTTATTTCACTCACCACATCACTGATTATGACGAACTTCTCCCAGGAAAAAGATATTACTGTGATATAGACCACGTGAAAGAAGCAACAGACGTCAGTCTCATTACTGGTAAAATCAGAGAAACTAAATTTGATCCTACAGAAGGCCATAGTATGGAGGTAGCAGAAAAACAGAACTGGGCTTTAGAAAATATTGGGCATAGTTTACAAGACAGAACGTGGAGAGGCCTAGAACAGAAACTGGGTGACACAGAAGTTAGAAAGGCAGAAGAAGGCCGCAAAGGCATACCCTTACAATACACTAACGAGCCAGAGTAAAATTAAGAATACTTATGTTTAAATACATCACTTTATTTACATTTTTCTTTGTATTTGTTTCTAGTACAAATTTTAGTGGCCTACTGGGTATAAATTACTAGTCAATGGTAGTATTGTTTTTTTAAATTGCACTAAAAAGATTTAAAATAAAACTATAATACGTTGTATTCTATGGCCTGTATTAATGAACAGCTCTTTTGAGACTACAGTTCACTTGCACTAAACGGACATCCTAAACCAATGCTTGCAATGCAAAAGACGCCCTTGATACATTGTGTTAGGAGTGTCTTATTAATTTAAGCATTGGTTTAATACGTATTTAAGTGCAAGTGGACCCGATAAGACCTTACAAATTAAATAAGTTTTTTTTTGTATTTCATTATTTAACTCTTAAATTTTTAGTGATATTTACACCTGTAGCGACTTGGCACCTTGTATGATAAATGTGTGTATTATTTTCTAAACTTGTTTCATATTAATAAATAATTAGGACTGAGCTGTTACTTGCACTTGTGAGTGACATTATTAATGAGACAAGAAATTATTTAATTTTGCTACCAACTCACTAATAAACATGGTTACTAAATTAAGATCTTATCATCGAACCTGCACTTCAAATGGATATACTAATACAGGCCTGTATCATAAGAAAACAATATTAAAAGCATAAATACTTAATAAATATATCTAGCCACATAACATTGATTAACTGGTTCCTATTAATGCATACAGAACAAAAAAACAACAACAGCTACACTTGCACATCATGGTAAAAGGAACACATATTTTAAAAAGTCTTGTTAATTTTATTATTTACTCTTTAACTTGGTTGAGGGGGTTTTGAGGGGACTTGAGCCATTCTTTCCATACAAGCTGCTTGAGTTGAGAAAGCCTTAGAGTAGGATTTTCGGCCTTAAGTCGTGCAAGAGCGACGGCCTCGAAAGCGTTATATGCAGCTTTCTGCCGTTTTTCAGGATGCCGGTCCAAATCGCTTTTGCTGTCGCTGCAAAAAATATATATTTGATAGGTTATTTGTATTTGCATAATATTATATTAGGTTATAATAATATGCAACTTTTTGGCCAATTTGTAACATCAATTAAAAATGAACTGAATGTATACAAATTATGAAAATCTGTATTCCCTACATCTTCAATACTTTAACACAATAATGTTTTAGAAACTTAGACAAGATGACAATTATTTCAAATTTATAAACTGACTTGGTGGCTGAACAGTTACCACGATGGACTGCTCCGCAGAGGTCCTGGGTTCGATTTCCGGGCCAGGAGAAATATTATATATAATGTAATTTTTGGTTGTCGGTACAGGCGATACGGCGTTTCCCTAGTGCGGGGCTCCGAGTGTACGTTATTTATTAAGGCCTCGTACACGTAGCACTTGAACATCGAGAACATCCATAGAGGTTGTACCATATCAATGACAAAGTTGTATGTAGCACACTCTGGTTGTCTTGTTTCGTAATAAAATCAGAGTTAACAATGTCACGACTGAGTTTCACTAGAGCAATATATTTTTTATCTCTTCAATTAGTAGGGCTCACACCTGTTTCTGTTTTGAAAAAAATCATTAACAGCAAGCCTGAGTCTGCAATTTATAGTCATTTAAATTAGCTAAAGATATCTTATCACACTATCAAGAATGGCTCGTAAATCACTTGTTGGTGTGTTTGGTGACTGTTTCCTAATGAAGTCATAGTTAACAAAGAATATACCTAAGTACAAAGATGGCTTCATCAACTGATTGGGCGACTTCTCCTTCCAGCTGTATTCTGTTGAGATTCTCGACGAGTGGCGCCTCCTCCACCACCACTTTAGATGGCTAAAATAATCAAAGTTGTATTGTTAGGAATACTTGCATTTTTTTATGTAATTCATACAACTTTCTTAGATATGATGCACATCTTGAAACATAGCAAGCCAATATTGACTACATCAAATCTAGATAAAGATCTAAATGCAAATATGTGAAATAGGTTAAAGGAGCACACAGACAGTGGGAATTGTAGTCAATTACTTTTTTGTTGTACAAAGTATCTATATGTAGAAATTATTTCACCAAAGAACATTATCACGCTTACCACAGGCTTGACAGGCTCAGCTTTAACACTTTTCTCCTTCATCTGATTGATCTGTGCTCTTGTGATCTTGGGAGCTGGAGCCTCCTTGACTTTGCCCTTTAATGATTCCATCTCTTGTTCTAAAAGTTTTTTGGCCTCTGCCTTCTTCTGGAGCTGCTCTTGGCGTTTCTTTTCTTGATCTTCCTGGAAAATACAAGATTTGTAAATTAAGACACTTGCCTTACTTACCTTGCTTATTTGTTATGACACTTGGATAAATTTCTGTATTTTATTTTACAGAACATTGTATGAATATGTGATCATTGGATCTATAACAACAACAATATAATGTAAAATTATCAAGTTTAATAAGAATTGGTACAGTATTGGCTCAAAATAACCTGCTAAAATAACAATAGTGTGTTAATCTGCAAAAGCAAACTACAAATTTAACACAAACGTACTTCTCTGAATTTTTTTAATAAGGCCTGTAACACTTGGGTGTCAATGTCGGCCTTGTGATTATTCTGCTATATCGTGTTGTCTCATAGCGAGAGAAAAAACCTCACATATGAGTATAGAGTTTTAGCCGTCTTCGCCAATGGGTCACCCAACATGACATTTAACTCCCTAACCTGCCAAATATTCCCTAATTGAAATTTGCTTCTAAGGGCCACATTCCATTAAATGTAGCATATCTTCAAGTTTGTTACAGAATTTAAATAGTGGATATTCCACTCTTTTTATTAGATGGTAGAACTTATTTAAAAGCCAAGACCAATGCATTTATAGAAAGTGCGCCATCCGCAAACCAGGGCAACGCAGCTAGCTTAGCTTAGCTCTCTTACAAATGGACGATTTCTGCAGCAAGAGGTTTACATGATAAAAATACTAAAATGGGATACATAATTTGGAGTGCACTTTATACTCCTGTAAATATCAGGAATGCCAGTGTTTTTGTTTTTTGGCAATAAGGTAATTTAGGAAATGAAACTATTTTTCCGGATTTAAATCGCGTATATTTGTTTTTTCAAACAAACCAACGTTTCGGGCCCTTTACAGGTCCCATGGTCACGGTTAACTGAGGTGGTACAGTCTTCAACCAGTTATGTCTAATATTGATGCAAACCATCTTATTTTTTCACTATAGTTACAATAGTTATCAATTAAATACCTTATTTTTAATTTTACAAAGAAAACATTCCAATTTACTGGCAGCATCCTGGGTAGATAACGGACTTCTTTTGCAAGGACCTGGGGTTTGTCAAACTTCATTGAATGTGTAGATTTATCCATGACATGCTCGCAGACTGCAGACTTGTGTTTGGAAAAACAAATATACGCTATTTAAATCCGGAAAAATAGTTTCATTTCCTGTGTGTAAAAATCGCAAAAACCTAAGAACTCGATAAATCAAATGACATTTCATCTCTATTTCTGGTCTGGTTTTTTCTGATGGTCAGGAATTCTACTATAGTAGGGGCCGTTAGGCCTTACTGTCAGCTCCGTCAAATGCAACAATGTTTAAGGTAAATATTTGAATATTACTTTAAGAAAGTAAACATTAGTAATTTTACAATGGTTACATAGCCATCTACTATATTTGTTACAAATCAGTAAAACCTTTAACAATGTATAAAATGCACTTTTTACAAATGTATACTATTGAGGGATACTATATACCTTCTTTTGTTGTTTCTTTTTCAGTTTATCATCATTGTCCTCCCACGCAGAGTCTTCGATCGTCTTTTTGAGTTTGGCGTCCTTCTCAGTCTTGGCATCTTCCTTCCGCTGCCGCGCCGCCACTGCCTTGCTATTCTCACCCGCGAATTTCTTCGGCATTTTTGTTCTGTAACTTCTAGAACATTGAACATAGACCAAATTCACAGTACGTAACTCACGTGCTTCGATGTGTCGAGTTTACAAAGAATTGTTTTACACGAATGAAGACCTTTTTCAGGTGACGTACCGTAATTATAGAATTTAAAATGAAATACTTGGCGTTAACAAAATTATGGTGGAATGGAATGATGGAAAATAACTGAAAACGTCTGTTGTTTTGACAATGAATGATTTTTTTTTCTTTCCATAAAGGAAAAGGCAAAGGTTTTACACCATACAGCCAAGTCTTGGTACATTATTAAGTCTTTTGAGCCATGTCTTCGTTTAATTATGTTTCTGTAAATATGGCCGCCACAAAGGGAATAGGCAATTTGAGGCGGCGTGCTTGGATTGGCTCGGGATTCCTTAGAACGGGCAGATACAGGTATTTTAGTTCGAGATTCGTATAATTTCGCATTTTAATCTTCGATTAAGGCACAATAGCACTATCCTATTCCACTTTAAACTAGATGTCACAAAATAATTGAAAGTCAAAATAAAAACGACACTTTTCCCTCCAAAAGGCCCAGAGCAAATCCGACAATGAATGAACCGTTTTTGACTTTTTTTTAGTAGATTTTATTTATACGATTGTGCCTTAATCGAAGATTAAAACGCGAAATTATACGAATCTCGAACTAAAATACCCGTATCGGCCCGTTTTAAGGAATCCCGAGTCAATTCAAGCACGCCGCCTCAAATTGCCTATCCTCTTTGTGGCGGCCATATAATTACAGAAACATAATTAAACTTCATGTTTAGGCTGATGGCTTTGCCAAAGCCTTAATAAAAAAAAAAAAAAATTTATTTATATTAACGGCTTTGCCTTCACATTTAGCCAATGAAAGGGTTGCTATGGAAGAGGTGCGGGATTTGGATGAAAAATCGCCATAGATATTAAAGCTTGATATTATTGCTATCGTTAAATAAGGCCAGTAGATTATACACATCTTTGTTACAATAATGGAGGTGGGGAGTGGGACACTGATTGCCAGGTGTTCGGATAAGAAAGTAACATTTCATGCATTTCGTTAGACCCATACATTTACATAATATTGACAAAGATTTATCACTTGAAAATATGATATTGCCTCCATCTTATACTTAAAAAAAGATTTCCTCCATTTTAAAACGTGAAGTTTTCCCATTTTAAAGTACAGAAAAAAAAAACCTCTCAATGGCTAAAACGCAAACCGTGAAAGAAAAGCCACGAAAAAAAAACCAAACATAAACGTCAAGGGATAAATGTCTTTTTGTGGTGTACGAAAAGAATTTTTACATTTCATTTTCGATTTTCGCACATTATAATAAAAAAAAGACGCTGAATTAACTTGTAAATAACATAACCATGGCTTTAGTAGCTTATGACAACAGCGATTCAAGTGAATACGAGGATGAGGACAATGATAACTCGCCTATTGCTATTTTGAACGAACACATTGAAACTAAAGATGGTAAACACCATAACAACATTAATTTCCTTTTATTTACAATTAAAATTGATAAATTTTCGATTGCAAACGTTCAGAATACCTAAATTTCAAATTCATAACTTTAAATTGACTATGAAAAGTTACTAGACTTGAGTTTAAAAAAAAAATTAAAGAATTTGGTACTTGTTAAGCAAATGGAAAGTTCACATAGATTATTTCCTACTCATTACAGTACAAGCATCATCTTCATCATCTGATACTTCAGCTCGTGCATCAGACTCCAACAGTGAAAGTCTCTTTACTCGGCTGCCTCAACCATCAGCGAAGAAATCATTAGTTGTTGAAGAAGATGATGAGTTCTTACACAAGAAGGAAAAATCTAATATTGTGAAACCTAAAGCTAAGATCACTGTGCCGTCACTAAGTGATGTAAGTGTACTTGTGAACTTCCAGATTTAAATCGCATATATTTGATTTTTCAAACAAACCAACATTTAGGGCCCTTTACAGGTCCAATGGTCATTTTTATTCTTTCTTATAATAAGGCTTTGTCAAAAAATAGGCTATGATTTTGATTTTAATATGTATTTGTGAACAAGACTACACTGAAAACTTTTTAATTCCCAAATTTAATGAATTGGGAAGGGTGATTTAAAGTTGTTTTAAAAAAAAACGATATCATAGCTCTAATTTTATTTGTTATTTATGAAAAACTAAAAGTTTCAGCTTTTCGTAAGTTTCATATCACAAGTAAAAAAATTATTAGCTATGATTGTTTTTTCTTAAAAAAATTATTATAAATTGCTCTTCTGTAATATTTTCCAAATGCACATAAGATGTTTTACTTTTCCAGTGTCATCACATAAAACTTCGCTATAATCACTTCACACCATTGACTTACAATTATATGGACGTCGGGTCCGC